GGGGGGGGAGGATGTGATTTCCTTTCCTGCTGCGGTCTGCTATAGCCGCACGTCAGGCAGCGCCTGCTAGCTCCTTTTCCGGCCCGCACGTTTTATTCAAGCCCGTGCCTTTTGATAACATGCGTTCGTCTGAAATCGTGCCAGCAGACTCCGGATCGCATGAACTCTCCTTCATCAAAACGTATGCCTTTTAACAAAATGTGGGCGTTTGAAAACGTGCTATCAGACCTAACTGTGGGGAAAGAGGTACACTTTCATTTTCTAAAACAACCTTCTCCAACTTGTGATCCTCCAGAGATTTTGGGTTTCAGCATCCAGAAATAACAGCCTGTTGGGAACCCGAATCCAAGACCTCAAAGTCCAAAATCCTCTCCAAAGCACCCTGCTTTGACCAATGTCCTTATGCAGAAGCAGCGATGTAAAGAACTTGGAACGGTTTTTCACGGCGTTTTATTTGTTTTTGTCCTGGTTTATTATGAAATACACTGTCACCCAGATCAAAAAAGCAAGATATTGTGTATGCAAAATACTTTTTTTTAACTGTGGAGCAGCAGAAAAGGCGTTGAGCAATTCTCACGCAGGCCTTTTCCTGAGGAAACTGTTTCCTAAAATGCTTAAAGCAAGACTTAAAGATAGAGAGGCTATAGTTTGATTCAAGGCTTCCTTCAGAGAGGGGCCTAATGTCTGAAGGGAAGGGAGGTCAAAAAAGTCAAGATGGCAAGATTAGGGGCTTCAGTTGCATAGTTGTGGCTGTTGTCTTGATGTTTTTGACCTCCCGTCCCTGCAGACACCCCTGGACAACATAAATCTTGACTTTTTTGACTCCCTTGCAGACCCACAATGAGGAAATGGGAGGGAAGACCATGATTTCCAGAGGGTGCCTCTCCATTTTCACACACACACCCCCATAGCAGATCCTCAGCAGCTCCTTGGCTCGCAAAGCTTGCAACTCGGTTGAACATGCATGGAGAGCAGCTGCAAGAAGCTTTGACACGGGAGCCGATGAATTCCAGGGAGCTGAAATCTCCCGCCAGCAAAGGCCACGTGAGGGATCCATAAAATCATCACAGAAATGGCACTTGCCACAAAATTAGAATTGCACAAGTTTTTGCAGCCATTTAAAAAACCCCATTCCCTCTGGAAATGGGGCCGGGGGGAAAAATCCTCTTTAGTACGAGCGTGTGGACCCCTCCACCCCTGGATCCAGGGATCCAGCCTCAGAGAGCCATCCAGGGACAGTCCAGCTGTTATTCTTCCTCAGTGACCGTCAGAGCTGCAACAGAGTAGGACGCCGGGATGTAATGTTCCACGTTTACTTGGGGGGGGAACCCCATTGCTTGCGGGGGGCTGGCATGTGGTTTGGTTTTCTTCCACTTCGCCTGACAGACAAGGAAGAAGGAAGGTCAGTTTTCCTCCAAGAGAGCCCAGCTGCCCTCCAGGCTGAACAGAAAAAAATCAGATTGCGGAGGGAGAATTCTTCAGTGCAGTGTTTCTCAACCTTGGCAGCTTTAAGACGGGTGGACTTCAACTCCCAGAATTCTCCAGCCAGCCTTGCTGGCTGGGGAAT